AGGTCTAATTCTCACCATTAACAAATCATTAACTACAACTTTTGCCCTCAATAACCTCCTAATTCGCTGCTTATTAATAGTTAGTAAGGTAGTTGTTAAGTTTAGGATTAGGGATGTAGAATATGGTCACGCAAAATATGTGTTTTATAAGCACTAATAAACAACCATTATATCGTAATAGGCAAGCTAATAAGCAACTAGTTAATAGTGAGAATTGGTCCCTTTACTAATGTGTTACCTAATACTCCATATTAAATCCTTGGATTGGGAGACAGATTGGCACTTAATATGAATGTCTAAGAACCCCCAAAAGACACAAATAGCTTTGGGGTGTTAAAGTAATGGCCAGCGTAATAATTGGCGGTACTGTGAAAATAAACACAGTACTTACGGCAAAGAGAGGAGTATTTTTGCACATCCCAAAGTTAGTAGGGTCTACAATGTGAAGCCAAAATAAGACATCTTCTCAATATAAAGCACAAGTCTCAAATAAATCACATCTCCACTTATCTTCTGTATACAATGAATAAATAATAAATTCTTCACTAAGTTATTGCAGGTCTTCTTTACTTCTGTAGACTGATCTTGAATCAAAAATGCCTTTGTACATGTAAGAAATAACTTTGTAGATACTTACATTTTTCAATATTCTTCTGAACTATTGCCAAATAAACTTTTTTTCCAGATAAAAATAGTTGACATTATGATTTCATTACGCGTTCAGAAAATATTTCTTGCATACTGAATATGCAGAAATATTTGAACTAAGAAGTGTTTGTTTTGGCTAATGCTTACAGTTTATAATTGCACAAAAAAAAAACATGTCAATGGTGCTACTTTGAAGTTGTGAAAAATGCATTACCAGTGTTTCCCCTAGGTTTACGGCTTTTTTTTTTGAGGGGGGGACTCCTTTTTTTTCTGGACTCCTTTTTAATGGTTAAATTAAATTGTATTAATCAAAAAGCATGTCTAATTAATTAAAATCATGAAACTTAAACAATTTAACATCAATTTATTAAAAATGTAACAAAAATTACATGTTTAGGGCCCTAGGAAAAGTTGTATTTTTCCCAACCTTATGTTTTATTGTTACCAAATTCTGTTTTAGCATGTCTAATTATTTGAAAGCATAAAAACAAGTTTCATTTATTCTTACAATAGCCTTGTGATTTTTTGCTCAGAAATTCTTACGGCATAAACACTCATTTAATCTATCTTTTAAGTAATGAAAATTAAACAATTTTTTTTTTTTTGGAAAATAAAGGTAATTTAATATTACAATTAAAACATTGAAGAAATATTGTATGATTATTCCTTAAAAATAAGGTTTTAATCATTTTAGTAGTAGTAGTAGCAGCCTTTTACATACATTCTACGGAAAAATAGTAATATATTTCTGCCGCAATGCCTTCAAGTTAAACCGAACTTTTATTTTGACGGGTTGCCGTGAATACCGTTACATTTCTGTGTGTAGCCTATATGATATGAGAATAGTTTTACTCAAATGAAACGGTCAAATGCTCATGAAGTGACTCTCAGAGCAATTCTGGAGATGTTGTTAATGTATTTATGTCCTCATTTAGTGAGAAATGCCAGATGCTAAAATCACCGCAAACTTCACGCGCGCTTCAGTACAAGTGGTAAACAAAACCGCCCGTCTGCGCCATTCATTAAAAGAGACACGAAGAATTCATATTTAAATATTAAGTCGTTTTGCGGCTTAATATTTACAAATACTAGTGGGAGTGGGCTCACTTGTGTGTGAGTGTGTGTGTGTGTGTGGAATACCTTTATTGTGTGTATATGATATGAGGATAGTTTTACTCAAATGAAACGGTCAAATGCTCATGAAGTGACTCTCAGAGCAGTTCTGGAGATGTTGTTCATGTATTTATGTCATTTAGTAAGACGGCAGACGCTAAAATCACCGCAAGCGTCACGCGCGCTTCAGTACGAGTAGTAAACAAAACCGCGCGTCTGTGCCATTCATTAACACAGAGACACGCAGAATTCATATTTAAATAGTCGTTTTGCGGCTTAATATTTATTTTAGTGTGTGTGTGTGTGTGCGTGATACAGAGAGCACGACCTTAACGTAGAGACCGAAAGGACATGTCGTCGTGTAAATAAGATAAATAACATAAGGCTATTTAGATTGTTTAATAAAAGAACAAGGTATACACCCCTCTACATTGCGAATAAATCACTCGCATATGCGACTAAATCTTACTCTGGGCGACTAAATAATGTCTAACATTAGTCATTGGCTAATAAATTCTTAGATTTTACACGCCAAGTATGTGTGTGAGAGGCGTTCAACACAGATTTTCACTCGATAAACACGCTGACTGAGCGCTTGAGAGTTTCGCTCTCCGTCAAGTGATCTGTACTATTTGGATGTGCTCAATGGATCATGTCATGTACTCAATGGATGCGCAGTATGTAGCACGCAGCGCACCTGTATTTGACGTACCGTAAACTAGTGTGAAGGCGCACGACTCGCCGTCGCTTTACTGATAGCGCCGTTTCTCTCACATGCAAAGAGAGAGCGAGAGTCTTGCATACCACGCTGAATCGACGCGCTACATGTAAACCATATTCTTTGTTGTATTTTCCTGTCAAAATAACAGAGTTCATTTAGAAATATTCAGCTTTTAACCCTCTTAGTGCCAAAGTCGCAAAATTGCGATAAGACTTCATACATAATCAAATAGACTGTAGTTCCTAATATGGTGTAATATCTCATTTGTATTCCCTACCACTAGATGGCAGACATGTAGTACTTCGATTCTAGACCAAAATTACGTCACCTTCCTATTCAAAGTGTTTGAGGAAAGAGCAGAGCAAGTGAGCTTTCGTGTCATTGATAATCAACCATGTTTTGCAGCATGATCTTATGGTGAAAAGATTCCATTCGCATTTGTAGTAAGTGATCAATCAACACCCACAAAAGAAGAAGGTGTGCAGTCATGATTTGCATGTGCAGCAGGGATAGGAGGCCTGTAGGACAGACGACAGAAACCTGTTGAATTGTTGCAGCTCTGTGCACTCTCTAAACACAGGAAGGATTTATATAGATTATTTTTAACTCACAATTGATCATGGGAATATCGCATGGCCTTTTTAGGGCTTAAAATAGTTCACCAGTTCTACTTGGCCAAGAACCAGAGGGGGCGTCTGAGGGGGAACTTACAGCCGGCAAAATAATAAAAAAAGAGAAGCATATGGGACAACACAACATGATTTACCCTTGCATGCAGGGTGTGTTTAAAGGTGCAAGCTGTTTTTTATCTAAATCTGTGGTTGGGCCTATGATTAAAAACTACTCTTCAAAGTATTTTTTTGTCTTGAAACTGGTGATTTTTGAGGTCAACAAATTTTGCCATTTAGATTGATCCATGATCAATGCTGGCTATTTCAATATTTACTCAACATCCAGATGTTTTGAAGTTTGTAGTGTGTAGCGGACATGACCCTAAACCAGACTAATTAAACCAACCAGTCCATTTTGAAAATATGTATTTTTAAACTAAAAACAAAAACACACACTAGTAAATGGAACCACAATGGGGGGGTAAATGATTACTAATTTCTGGTTGAAGTTAGTTCTGGTATAAGCGATACATATCGTCTGCGATAATATTGTAATTGTTGTTTTAGCGGTGCGCGATTTGACCAAACAAAACACACCTACAGAGTACGAAGGTTAGAATAAATGCGTGTGCGCATTTAGAAAGCGTTCTTTTACTGCATGATTCAGTCTATTACAAAATTCAAGAAATTAGGACAGAAAATGTATATATTTACATAATTTCATGTAGTTCACCAATATCACACGAAGAGTACTGTTTTTTCCCCAAAAATTAGCATGATTACAAATGTGATTTTGTTTTTCAATAAACAAGAAGTTAATTAAGAGACTTACATTTTGGCCACCATATTGCCTGTTTTTGCTCTATTACGACAACAAAAATAATTCCAAACAGCCACAGCGCTGTTTTGTGTCTCTGAGCAACATGACGTTGTTTCGTTCCTGAATGAATCAACAGTTTAAATGATTCGGTTCAATCGCAACAACTCACTTATTAACAGTGACTTGCTGCCACCTACTGGCGGTTTCAATTTCACATTTATAGTATCTTTTCATTTTTAAATCATTTCAAATATCAATATTCCACCTTTTATATATAATATATCAAAATATTATTTATGCATTTGTAATGGCAAGTTAAATGCATTCATGTTCTGCACTAAACAGTGTGTAAATACATCTATATGCCACTTCAGATGCAGCTTCTGTGTTTCCTCTGCATTGAAAAGGTGAATTTAGTTTATACTGATTTAATTTGCTTGGTCTGATTTTAATTCACTGATTAAACGTAAGAACTGGACTCAAAAGACGATGGACACCTTTAGAAAAAATGACTTTATAAAGGGAAAACTTATTGGAAAAGATTAATTTCTCACAAAATATGAAGAACATCAAAAACTTCAGGAGTCAGTCGTCTACGGTATTCTTTAAGACACCAGCACAAAAATATTTTCTAATTATCGTTATCAATAAAATCCCAGAAAAGAGATATTATTTTTTGTCAATATCGCACACCCCTAGTTGAAGTACTGCATAAGAGAATATTACAGAAATTTCCATTACTTCTACATGCACTCAATGCCGAAACACTAGGTAGAGGCACAAAAGGATGGCAAAACGCTCATTGACAATAAAGCAAGTGCCAAGGAAGTGATCCATCTCTTAATGGGACCAAAATCAACTGCTGAGGACAAGCACTTCAGAAGACACTCTAACCACATCTGTAAAGCACTGCAGAGGAATGGGTGGAATCTCGTCTGTGTATACATTAAGGGCTGATTAATCAGGGTTACTGGCAAGCTATCAGAGAGCGGCTCATCCCGATGAGGTCTGTTTATAATGAAGCACAGGATGAGACGACAGGGAGCACTGATGAGAGAGAGACAGGTGAGGATAGACAGCACCATACCTGAACATGATCAATCCAATGGACTCCACGGCAGCCCTCCGAACATCGTCGTTCACGTCACTTACCTGACAGGAAGAGGGACGAGAAATCAGAGCGATGCATTTGGATAAAATATTACATTCATTATTCTAAGGAAATAGCCTATTTAGTTTATTGTCTTCTATCACAATGACATAATTAAGTGAACATAAGGGTGCATTTAAATCAATGGCTTTAGGCAGATGTTGCCAGCACTCAACAATTATTTTAAAATGTCAAAAGTTTTTGCATCTTCCTTGGAATACTCTTTTAATTTGTAATAAATAGGATTTCCCACATATCCACAATATCAGTATTAGTCCTCATACAATCCCTTAGTAAGCAACTTTAACTCTGTTTGGCATGAGAGTTATTTTTTAGCCACTGAATAAATAATCAAGCAATAATTAAAGCTGAAGTGCCTGAGCTTTACCAGAGTAGAACTCTGAAAGAAATACTCATATTACAACAAAAACGTCCAGCAGAACAGATAACAAAAGTAACACTGCAAGCAAGCTCTTTAGCTGCAAGTACAAAACGACTTATGGAAATGTCGCCATCTGCAGGAAATGCAGGATAGATGGCCTGCTGAACACAAAAATAGACCTCAAAAAAAAAGAAAAAGACTGCTGCCCTGACAGAGATGTTATAAAAAGGTTATTAAAATTATTATATTATATCATATTCTGTTCTTTTATATACAGTGGGTACGGAAAGTATTCAGACCCCCTTACATTTTTCACTCTTTGTTATATTGCAGCCATTTGCTAAAATCATTTAAGTTAATTTTTTTTCCTCATTAATGTACACACAGCACCCCATATTGACAGAAAAACACAGAATTGTTGACATCTTTGCAGATTTATTAAAAAAGAAAAACAGAAATATCACATGGTCCTAAGTATTCACCCCCTTTGCTGTGACACTCATATATTTAAATCAGGTGCTGCCCATTTCTTCTGATCATCCTTGAGATGGATCTACACCTTCATTTGAGTCCAGCTATGTTTGATTATACTGATTGGACTTGATTAGGAAAGCCACACACCTGTCTATATAAGACCTTACAGCTCACAGTGCATGTCAGAGCAAATGAGAATCATGAGGTCAAAGGAACTGCCTGAAGAGCTCAGAGACAGAATTGTGGCAAGGCACAGATCTGACCAAGGTTACAAAAAAATTTCTGCTGCACTTAAGGTTCCTAAGAGCACAGTAGCCTCCATAATCCTTAAATGGAAGACATTTGGGACGACCAGAACCCTTCCTAGAGCTGGCCATCCGGCCAAACTGAGCTATCGGGGGAGAAGAGCCTTGGTGAGAGAGGTAAAGAAGAACCCAAAGATCACTGTGGCTGAGCTCCAGAGATGCAGTCGGGAGATGGGAGAAAGTTGTAGAAAGTCAACCATCACTGCAGCCCTCCACCAGTCGGGGCTTTATGGCAGAGTGGCCCAACGGAAGCCTCTCCTCAGTGCAAGACACATGAAAACCCGCATGGAGTTTGCTAAAAAACACCCGAAGGACTCCAAGATGGTGAGAAATAAGATTATCTGGTCTGATGAGACCAAGATAGAACTTTTTGGCCTTAATTCTAAGAGGTATGTGTGGAGAAAACCAGGCACTGCTCATCACCTGTCCAATACAGTCCCAACAGTGAAGCATGGTGGTGGCAGCATCATGCTGTGGGGGTGTTTTTCAGCTGCAGGGACAGGACGACTGGTTGCAATCGAGGGAAAGATGAATGCAGCCAAGTACAGGGATATCCTGGACGAAAACCTTGTACATTAATGAGGAAAAAAAATTAACTTAAATGATTTTAGCAAATGGCTGCAATATAACAAAGAGTGAAAAATTTAAGGGGGTCTGAATACTTTCCGTACCCACTGTATGCGTGTGTAATCCCCTAACTTTAAAACTATTTCTTTTCATTAGGTAAAGTTAAATTTTATCTTTCTTAAAAATCAGGAATAAAAATGTGTAGGATTACAATCTAATCATTTTATCTTGTAACCGAGGAATGACCCTTATATTTGTTTGCGTCTAATAATACTATTGTTTGTAACATTTGCTAGTGTAAGACTCACAGCCACATGCAGCAGTCGTCGGATGGCTTTGTTGTTCCCAGAGCCGCAGTACGCCATGGCCACTGTGTACATTCCCGACCGGCGTAGGATGGGGTCCTGTCGGGACAGTGAGATAAAACAGAAGCTCAATGCGCTGTCTGCACAGAAGACCAGAACCTCAGAACACAGCAAGCCACACAGTTAATGTATTCACACAATAAACATGGCGTTCTGGAAACAGTTAAGACTGCAACAAATTTATTCTGCCTGTTAGAGAGACAATTAGAATTATACAAAATAACCTAGAAAATGTTACGAAACTAGGGGTGTGCGACAATATCTCGATATTTTCAGGGATTTTATCTATATTGATAATTAGACAATATTTTGCTGAGTGTGTTATTGTGCTGGTATCTTAAAGGGATAGTTCACCCAAAAATGAAAATTCTGTCATTAATTACTCACCCTCATGTCGTTCCAAACCTTTAAGACCTCCGTTCATCTTTGGAACACAGATTAAGATATTTTTGATGAATTCTGAGAGCTCTCTGACCCTCCCATAGACAGCAAAGATCCTAACACGATCAAGGCTCAGAAACTTAGCAAGGACATCGTTATAATAGTCCATGTGACATCAGGGATTCAACCGTAATTTTACGAAGCTACGAGAATACTTTTTGTACGTAAAAAAAAAAACAATAATAACAACTTTATTTAACAATTCGTCTCCTCAGTGTCACCCTATAGCGCCATTTTGGAGAGTATCACATATGTTCAGATCAAAGTGTAAACAACGTAAACAACATATCCGCGTACGGTTGTTTACATATGTGATACTCTCCAAAATGGCGCTACAGGGTGACGCTGAGGAGACAAATTGTTGAATAAATTCGTTATTTTTGTTTTCTTTTGCACAAAAAAAAAAAAAAAAGTATTCTCGTAGCTTTGTAAAATTATGGTTGAACCCCTGATGGCACATGGATTATTTTACCGATCTCCTTGCTACGTTTCTGAGCCTTGATCATGTAAGGATCCTTGCTGTCTATGGGAGGGTCAGAGAGCTCTCAGAATGCATCAAAAATATCTTAATTTGTGTTCTGAAGATGAACGAAGGTTTTATGGGTTAAAACATTATAATGCAATGACACCTACATCGTCATCGCATCGCGTGCGCCGCTGATGAGGCTGCCTCCTTAACGCACACCTAAAAGTCGAATGCAACGTTTTTGCATTCGAATGTGGATTTTTATTTTAAATTCGACTAATATTCGAAATTCGATTTTTGTTTTTTTGACAGCCCTAGTAATCATGGTAATTTTATAATGTAGACAGAGAGAGTGCATAAGTCTTTGGTATTAATTTATATATATATATATATTAGTGATGCGCGGATGAGCTAAAACGTCACCTGAATCCGCAGCTTCAAATAAATTATCCACCCGCCAACCGCCCGCACCTGTATTTTTGTCTGATTTAGATAACCGCACCCGATCATCACAATAGGGTTCGTACGGTCATGAAAAACCTGGAAAAGTCATTGAACAGCAATTTCCAGGTTTATGTAAAAATAAATAAACTCAAAGTTTTTGAAAAAATCATGAAAATCTATTTCACAATTCTCTGTATAATAGAATTATGTTTAATCAGATCCTGAATTGTTGCGGGATTGCGCATACATCGCATAACTCATTCCCGCAGCTTTCGACTTTAAAATGAGGGAAATTACTGCAAAACCTTTATTCAATATAGCGTGTAGGTTAGAGGAGTAAATAAATCCACACAAACCATCAGATGAAAACAGCGTATGTGATTCAGCTGTACCGCGTCTTCTCTCTTTGACTTTCGCTTCACATCGACGCATCTAGAGCTGCTGCACGCTGCAATAGAAGACTTTAGCTCGCGTTTCGGGACAATTGACAAAATTGTCAATTGCCTAATCGGTCATTGTTGCATCGTCACAAAAATGTATTATTTTCACGTCTTTTTAAGCCATTCGGTACTCGCGCTCTCCAGAGGCGCGTGCGCTCACAACGTTTTTGCATTCGAATGTGGATTTTTATTTTAAATTTGACTAATATTCGAAATTCGATTTTTTTTTTTTTGACAGCCCTAGTAATCATGGTAATTTTTGGAGAAGAAAACGGCACTCTATGTGTGATATTGAAGAACTATATGAAATGATATAAATGTATACATTTTCTGTCCCCATGTCTTGAATTTTGTGATCATTCTAAATGCATTTTGTTAGACTGAATCATACAGTGAAAGAACGCACTGTAAATGCGCACTAGTCTAGACTTCACGTGATGTATGCATGCGAGGGGTGTTTTGAATGGTTTTTGCAAAATACTCGATAATGTCAAATCGCACATCGTTAAAACAACAATTACGATATTATCGCAGACGACATATAATTGCACACCCCTATACGAAACATTAAATTTTTTAATGCAATTAATTGTATGTACAGAAATATTTTTGACTTAAAATATATGTAAAAACTCAGTGCTCACCTTATCTCTACACAGACTCTCAATTAGAGCATCGGCCTCTTCCATCCTTCCATACATCACCATTGCGATGCCGACAGCTAGTCCACGCAGGATCTTCTCATGCTGGGTTTCCTGAGCATAGCCCACCATGTCCTCAATGGCCTGGGCTGACTTTGAGCCCAACATCACTAGCCCCAGAGCAAGACCAGCCGCCTCTCCTGTGACAACACCAATTAACAAGATGACCGCGAGCTTAACGTAGAATTACAGACCGAATGTTGCCCATTTAAACCTGATTGTTCTGCGTGGTTGCCCAAAATTTGACCAATAGTAACAGTGATGCTTGCCTTCATGATATCTACTGATAAAGATGAACTTTTTTTTAATGAAGGTGCCAAAATAAGATGAAAATGCTGCACATGCCTGTTACTGCATCATCTTGATAGAGGTTTGATTTGAGCAGGTCGTAGACGTCTTGGCGAGCAGTGCCCAGGGCCGCTAACCCGAGTCCCAGAGCGCCACCGTGTCGAACAATCTGCAAAAAAATTTGATGTAGAGTTATTCCTGCTTTCTGGAATTGCAGTGCCTTGAAACTTTATTTGAGCGTGATTATGCACATACATCATTACTGGCATTCTTCAGCTGGCTCAGAAGGTAGTCAATGATGTCCCCTCCGTGATTAGCATGGATCAGCCCAAGAGCGTAAAGCCCTCCTCCTTCCTGATAGGCTGATCCAGGTGAGGTGTCTTTGGGCAGGTAAGTCGCCATTAACTGTAGTGCTTCCTTTTCATGGCCCTGCACACAAATGCATACAAATTTAACAAATAAATAAAAAAGTAATAACATTGATTATATTACTTTTTTATGAATAATATATTCGTCACTTTCTGCAGACAGAACAAAATATGAGCTTCCTGCTATGTTGAAATGTCTCAATGTTCCGTAATGACATAAAGTAATGCAATAACCGGGCTGCATGCATATATATATATATATATATATTAGGGCTGCACGATAAATCGCACGCGATATTTAACGCGCATCTTGTCAGTAAAGCCGGTTCTGTAAT